GCATTGCTTGAGGGTTTTGTGCCATTAAATCCTATTTATTGTGTACTCTTTACCCCTACTCCCACCAAATAAAACTATAGTTGGAGGATCAAGTATTTATGACATTTCCTAATGTGTGACATTAGCCCCAGGAAGTGAGGTTATTAGTCCATCTGCCACTCCATTCATCTGTGAAAAAGTCTATGATAAAAATAACACTCACTAAATATACTCTGCAGGTTAATCAAGTCAATTGAAAATATAGAAATAGACATATTGGGAATAAAGTGACTTAGTTAATCATGGGTTTGAAGGCCCTTTCATAGCAATTTCTCCTTGGCACTAACATGTTTAATGTCCATATAATATTGCAGCTTAATTCTCACACATGATAATGCCACATCAAATTGAATAATGTGCCATAATTTTCCTGTGTGTCATAAATGCAATACCTTGCAGCAGAAGTTTTCATCTTGTGCTATAATCTGAAAGAATCAGCTGCTCTGAGCAGCCCCCTTTTTTAGACCAGTTAGCCTTCTTCCTTGATTGCTTCCATTTAATCTTGAGGCATACCCAGAATAAATTAGCTTTCATTTATTTACCTTGTATACCAATCCATTTAAACCATTGCTTAATTATGGAAAGGCTCCAAATTAATTACACTTATCCATCAAATTAGGTATCAATCCATTGCATCGCATGAATGTCATAAGAGCTAGAATAAAGGACAAGGGATTAAGATACCACGGGTGCAAATTTTATCTCTGATACAAATTTATCTGTTGGTCTTGGGCAAAATGCTATCTCAGCTTCAGCCTTCCATCTCCAAAGGATAATAAAACTGCCCTACCTCACAGTGCTGTTAAAAGGATTACCAAGTTAACAGCTGTGAAACATAATGACCACTTGTGAGTTCTTTATAAATACTTAAAAGTTAAATGTACATCACACATTTTAGGCTGGCTTTCTAAAGGATATGAAAGGCGCCCAGGAGCCCAGTTAAGATGTAACAGTGATTTCCTTCTATGTGTCTGACACATATGCTCTTCCTGTTTCATGCTTCTCTGGAGGAAACTGGAACTCTTCACCTCTAGTTAGGAACAAGACACAGTTCCCCATGATGTCCAAGCTCAGGAGATGATATTTGTTTAAACTATGGTTTTAGAAGAAGCTGGGAACTGAAACCACAGTTTGTTCTTGGCTCATTCTCACTAACCATAGTTTAAACAGTCCACAAATCTAGATTGGATACCATGAGGAATTATAGTTTCTTTAAAATCAGAAGCAAAAGTTTCCAATCTCTTTCTCATGAGCCTGAGGTGGGCTGCACCTCATTCAGCAGTGGAAATCCATTGTTTCCCATTCTTCTGAACTAGGACAGTGAATCCACGGTTATGTTGCAAGCATGAGGAAGTTTTTGACAAATCAGGTGCACTGGCAGCTCCTTGCTAATCGTAGTCTGATTAACAGATGCATCTTTGGCTCTGTAGGTTTGATCACTTTGACACCATCCCTGTTTTTCTTCCTTAAACATTTTGCTGTAAGGAATGCACAGGGAGAGTTCTACACATAGGCTGCAGGAAATGTATTTTGCCAATAGGAAATGTATTTTGCCAATAGAAATGTACTGAGAAATGTATTTTGCCAATAGAAACAGCAGCTTTGCATTCAGTGCATTCTGCTCTTTCTGCAACGCAAAACTATTACAACTGAAGACATGATGCGGCTGTGTTGTATCTTTCAGATTACTGGCTTCTACCATGTGGAAGAAGTAAGGGCACACACACAATGGGCTAGTTTGCATCGCATGAAAGCCCTCCATGAGTCACTCAACCTATGGTGAAGCTGCAGCACATGTGGGCCACATGTGGTTGCCATTTGGCATATCTTAATTCTACTTAAAAGGTAAAGGTTTCCCCTTGACATGAAGTCCAGTCATGCCTGACTCCAGGGGGCGCTGCTCATCTCCGTTTCCTGGCCGAGGGAGCCAGCGTTTGTCCGCAGACAGTCTCCGTAGTCATGTGGCTGGCATGACTGAACACCGAAGTGCACAGAATGCTGTTACCTGCCCACTGAAGTGGTACCTGTTTATCTACTTGCATTTGCATGCTTTCGAACTGCATGGTTGGCAGGAGCTGGGACGGAGCAACGGGCATTCACCCTGTTGTGCAGATTCGAACCAGTGACCTTTCAATCTACCAGCCCAGCAGCACAGCAGTTTAAACCACTGCGCCACCTGCAGTCCCTAATTCTGCTTGGAGGTTGTGAAATTGTGTGTACCAGGGAAGAATGGGTTTTGTTAAGTTTAAAGAACAGACTATGGGTTGGGAGTTGTTGCCTAATCTTCATGCAACCTATGCTTGGTGGGGTTACATGACTTGGTAGCCCCCAAGTAGCTGTATCCCTGCATACTGATGGGTGATGCAACTAATAAGGGATTAAATAACCCACAACAAAGTGATCTGTGTCACATGAAGCAGATTGTTGAGATGTTTTTCTAAGAACACATTGTGGGTTCCTATTTCACTTGGCAAGGCCATCTTTGTCATCAAGGATTCTTCCCTTAAGTGAGAACCAAACAAATTGGATGAAGGGAATGGCACTGTGTTACTGTCATATCTACAGTCTGGTAATGGATGGCTAAGGCCAATTTCAAAGGGAATTAAGTTGTCTAAATCCAAGCAATGCCACCTCAGGTGATTCTGAACATGCCTTCACCACATGAGAGTTCGCTGGGGGTGGTCGGTTGTGTGCTTAGTACTCAGCAGCATGTTCTTTTGTCCACTGTTGCTCTTGTGACAAAAACGAATGCGTCCAATAATCAAAAGCAGGAGCCTGCATGGCCTTCAGATGCTTTGGCTGGCCAAGTATCTGGAAACGTACCATCAGAGATATCTAAAGGAAACTGGGTTTGGGGCATAAGAATGTAGGAGATGTATAACTCACATGGCACCCACTGGAAAGAAAATTGTTTATTACAACCTTAAGGAAAAAGTCAGTTAATAAGCAGTGAAGGAAGCATCAGTCATTTGTTCTTTTGAATGAAATGCCATTAGTATCACAGTTAACATTTAAAAACTAGTTGGGATTATTTTCATCTGATCAGAGTTCATACCTACATTTAAAAGTGGAGAGGTCTATCTGCCTGATACATTTTCCTTTCAAAAACCACCTTTTATAATTCCAGTGAGAGAGTTGATAGTGTGTGATAAAATCAATCAGTGAAACACAGTGTTGGAGAAAGACACCTGGCCTAAGGTCTAAGTCTTAAGACATCAGACCCCACAGTTCTTAAGGTAATAAGATGTTCTTGTCCTAGAGTTATACTCATTTTTTAAGTCTTCTGCTTCACTGGAATTCATGGTAAACATGCTGTACCTGATTTCAAGGACAGAGATGTGGGGTCCTGGGGTAGAGGGAGAGGTGGGAGGCCCTAAGCCAGTGATGGCAAAACATTTAGAGGCCAAATGCCCAAATTGCAACCCAAAACCCACTTATTTATCGCAAAGTGCCAACATTACAATAAACCCTGAAAACTGAGGTTTTAGTTTAGAAAAAAAAAAAAAAAAACTCAAAGCCAGTCCAGGCAAATATATATATATATGTGCTTGGCAGTGCACTGACTGGCCATGCGAAAGCTTGGACGAGTCACGGATAATGAGTTGCAGCTTGTGCCATCATTGCCTGGTACCATGACTCCTTTCCAAGCATGCGCAAGGCCCCTAAGTATGCTGTTATCTGATGCTCCACTGCTGGGGTGATGCTGGGGTGACTTGGCTTGCATGCCAACAGAGAGGGCTCTGCGTGCCCACTGTGGCCCTCGTGCCATAGGTTCGCCCCCACTGCCCAAAGCTGTAGTCAGGAGTGCAACAGTGGGGCCTGGCTCAGATGCAATGTCAGGTCCCTGAAAATGGTGGTTTGCAAATCATGAGCCAGACTCAATAGCATGTTCTTCCTCCTGTTGCCTCCTCTCTCTGGAGCAAGTTCCCCTTTCCCCATGTAGGCTTGAAGTTTTAACTCTGGTTTAGTGTTATCCCTTGAATCACTAGGCTTCACAAACCACTTCAAGACATAGTGTTGGATCCACAAATGGACCTCCACTTCCTATATTCTCTCCCCTACCACCCACTGCAGCCCTTCCCAAGTGCTCCCAGATATGCTGTGCAGGATCCCCCAGGATCCCCCAGGATCTCCCTCTCTGGAGAACATTTGGATGACACATAGAATGCATGCTCCAGGCAGGGGCCCTCCACACAAGGTGACTTGTTTCTGGACCAAAGCCTGGTTTCAGAGCATGGCTTAAACTGAAAACTTAAGCATGCAGAATACTTACCAATCAGCTGCTCATATCTTTGCTCTCCTTGTTATTTGTGGCTAAATGTTATGTCCCTAAAGCACCAAACATTTGCATTTGGTTTCTTTTAAAGAAAGTGTACTCGCTGCAAGACTTCTGGTTTGGGAGCAGCTCACAAATCTATTTAATTAAAGCCTCCCAATAAGAACCACTACTGCACTGAGTTCTGCTTAATGGAACTCACCCAAATTCCGAGTAACTTGTTGGAGATCCATTTTTATCCAATCTTATCAGGACTGGTGCAAGACCTGGAGTGGGAGATTACATCACTGTCCTCTCTTTTTACCCTCCCCACAGCTGTGATGACAACGATAGTATGTGCCCATCTCCTTTTTCTCCTCCCTTGTCCTCACAGCTCTGATGACAATGACTACCTGCTCCTTCCTTCCTCCTCTTCCTGTTTCCCCAGTGATGGTGATGGTGGCCATGAAAGCTGATGCCGTCAGGTGTCTGCAGTCCAGAGCTGTGTCAACTACTCTTGCCACATCAGGAAAGTGGCCAGCACAGGTTTCTGGAGCACCAAACAGGATGCATAGTTCTCCTGGGGCCTGGGGATGGGAGCTGATCAGATGGCCTATTATGCCAAATACTGTATAGGGATCTCCCTCTCCCCCCCCCACCCCCGTGTGTGTGTGTTGGTGCACACACATGTGCATGTATAACTTACCTAACATGCACATTGTATTTCTGTCCATCATCCACTCTAAAATTAGTGCTGATGTTTCGAATCGCTGCTCTGTCATCGCATGCAAATTGGTACTGATTAAAGGGAGAACAAAAGGACAATTTATTGCAGTTGCACAACAGCAAGGAATGTAAAGGTGGCTAAACAATGCTTGGGAAATTCCAAGGGAGGAGGAGGAGGAGGAGACGACGACATAAGTTGGATTGATTCCATAAAGGGAGCTGTAGCTCTTGAGTCTACAACAGCTAGCTGACAAGGGCCAGACATTCTGCAAGACATTCAGTCCCAGGGCTGCAGAAGTGAGAGATGTCAGCATGTAACGACAACGAAGGAAAACCGAGTGAAATCTGGACGTGTGGGAAGGCAGTTTTGTTGGACATGGGCCAGAGCCCATTTTCATGAAGGAAATTCTCATGCTCATCTATGAGGGCAAAACTAGTCTGTTCATGCATGTGCAAATGTTCACATGCTCACACCTGGGAAGGGCAATTCCTGTGCATATGGAACTCTGCATCATGCTAGTTAGCCTTAGAATCTTGGCTCACAGACTCTTGTTAGTTATACATCTGAAACACTTCTGAATCAATTCTAAAATAAAGCCATGAATCATTTCTCCTTGCTTTAGATTTGTCTAGGAATTAGGAATTCTTCTTGGTTGTCACAGGATCTATCTATTCATTGTTACTGGTGTCCTCAGAGATGCTAAAAGGCAGTTTCCTTGCTAAGTCATGCTTTGTTTTCTGAACTAAGTCATGTTTCGCTCCATTGAGCTCGTTATACATGTGGTTCAAATATAAATGGCATACTTGAGTTGTTTATAGCTTATTTATAGATTATACTATGAAAAAAGTGCCTTGCAGTGAAATCTGTGGTATCCATTAGGAGGATGCACTGAAGAAAAGATTCTGCTTGAATCCCTCATTGGTGCTTCAGAAAATAAGTTAATTTGGGTGCAGGCTGTGAGAGAGGGTCAAAAGCAGACCCACAGAACAGAAAATTCATGTTTCTCTGTTGGGTGCCAAGTAAAAATCAATGGATATAAGCTTGTTTACTTCTTGATATACTACATCTGTGATTTTCTTCCGAATATTTAGCACTTTTACATAGACAATGCTTATCAAATTTCCGACAAATCGGGATGAGGGTTGTGCAAGGAGCCATTACATGTCATTGATGATCATAACTTTTAAATGGAACTACCTGTAACTGGATTTTTTCAGTGGGGATTATTGGGGGTGGGAGGTAGAATTGGGTGGGATTTATAGATATGGTAGCTCCTTCTGAGGGAATGGAACCTACAAAATGTCTAATTGGTGAATGGATCTTTATGCAAGGACAGCTTTTATAGCTGGGATGGGTCTAAAAAAGGGAATACCAACTACTGTTTTGTGGACAATTTTTAAGAAAGGGAACATATAATATGGGTGCCTTCGACCTGTAAAATATCTGGCTTGGCTTGGCTTGGCAACATTTAAAAATCATTGTTTCCCAACAACCAGTCTAATGTTCCTGTCTGGGTACTTTGAAGGGACTGTCAGTAGCTGTCAAAACAGTCTGACACGCCGACAACCAATTTTTTGAAGCATTGAAATGAGTTTTTCAGTCCTCTCCGATCTGTTTCCTGCTTATCAGAACCCATGATGAGTGAATATTTCCATGGGTGGCTGTTTTCCAAGGTTTTTACTGCAACCCTTTTGAAGTGGCAATGGTTGGAGATGTTTGTGTGAGCCCTTTGAGGTTCCCCTGGGAGAACGTCTTAGGGGGTTTGAGAATGGAAAAGCCCCATGGGAATCATTTGTTGTGAGTATGAAAATGGCAGGCATCACAGAGGCAAGCAACTTGTGCAGTTTTGGAGAGCCCAGTTCAGGAGATTGGGAGTTCCAAAGCATGAACAGAGCTGTTGTTTAGAGACTTTGTTTTTGTCCTCTACACAATTGACACGCTCTCCAAACAGAGTGACTGGAAGTAAAAAAGAGAAAGCCCTGGAATTCCCAGTTGCAAAGCTATATCCTTGAAACAGCCAACAGTTTCATCATTATCATCAGTTTTCCTTATAGCATTCAAGAACAGGTGGCAATATTGGATTTTTCAATATTTATTAACATTCATGATCTTGCTAAAGATTCCCCACCAGGACTCTATTGACTTTCCTCACTGAATCACCAAGAATGTCAAACAGTCTTGGTAGAATCTGTCTGACACTCTCATTAGCTCTTTATAAACCTATACTTAGAGTTCTTTAGGGAAAACCTAACAGTACAATTAGAAATAAAATAATGAGAGTGCTATAGTGCCATATAACCTCAGGATATTAGAGGAAGCTGGTTTATTATTATTATTTCATTTATATACTGCTTTACAGCCAAAGCTCTCTGGGTGGTTTACAACGGTCCATAAAACATATGAAAAGAGGAGAATATTATGGAAAAAAGATGCATCCCATCTTTGGACTTTAGCATTAGCTACCTCCTGTCTAGAGCCCCCTTAGTTTTCAGTAAAGAACTGATGAACCTCACCCAGAAATAGGATTACATTTTTCTGTGACATTCCATTTTTCTGAGTTCTCAAAGGAAGCCACTGGGTCACATATATTTCTTATTCTATCAGTCATGAATATTGTTCCTACATGTCAGGGTGATTACAATTCTGACAGGGGGATTTAAAAAGAGTGACTCTATTAAAAAGATAAGGAATTGGAAGTTTCAAAGCACTTGACACCTGAAATCTGGTAACTGAAATGTGGGGGGAAGGGGCATGCTTGTGCAAAAACAAAGGGAGGAGCCTTATCTTTATTGTAAGAGAAGACAAGGTGTGAAGTATTACCTGTAAAGTGCCTTGCTTGACAGAAAGTTGAATCAGGAATTGTCCCATTGTTGTTGGATTCTGTTCAATATAGAGAATGACTCCTTGGTAGCCAGAGGTCTGGAATTCTAAAGTGATGTTGTTTTGTGGATACAAACGAAAACCCTGGAATTTCATGTAAGAATCGCCTTGGTACTGGATATAGCTAAAATCTGTAGAAAGAAATAATTTGTGTTAAGTATATAAAGAAGTTAATTATATAAAGATCAGTATAAATTATATTGCCCAATCAGGCAAAAATTCAGAATCTAAGTATCCAATGTTTTGGCAGAATTGCCAAATATTTAACAGGCACCAATTACCAAATGTACTTTTTTTTTTTTCAGAATGGAGATTCTGTGATGGGGAATAACTTCACTTTCTGATCACTGTCTGTTATGTATCAGTTATGACAGCGTTCCTTTTATCCTCTTCTGATTACCTGTCCAGAATGGTTAGTTTCTGGCCTGTGCGTACATCCTCTTGTCAGAAAATTCTCAAGTCATTGTAGGGGAGAGATCCATAGCTGCCATCACAGTTGTCAAGCTCTATGCAATTAAATGATGTTGGGTGTTTTATTTTGTTTTTTAAATGTCCACTGAGGTGGATTGCTCCAGCAAGATGTAATCTATGAAACGCTTGATGGCCCATCTAAATTAAGGAAGCTCTTCTTATGTAAAAGGAAGTATGATGCCCTAAATCTTGACAATCTTGACTGCACCTAAACATGCATGGTACAATAGAACAGAGTTGATTCATATTCCAACAGTAACAGAAAATGCCTTACCCTGGGGGCAGGAGAAGCTAGAAGTCCGACATTTACAGTGTTCATGGAGAAGGGCAAGAGGAAAGGAAACAAAAAGTTCCTTTACAAAAATCCAGGTTTTCCTAAAGAGAGGAAACTTGCCTATTGATTCCTGTACCCAGAGAGGAGGGCTTCCCACTTTCTGGCCTACTGGAAGAAAGAGCCTAGTTGTAAAGTGCCACCTGCCGTTGTCAACACTATCAGTCACCTTTCCTTTGGGCCAGAGAAGCAATACAATTCAAGAATATGCAAACAGCATAAATGCAAGAAAAGCTGATATGAAATTTCTATATAAAACAAACAAACAAACGAACAAACAGAAAACAACAAACCCAAATATTTAAGATGGGTCTAAATCCTTGAAGACCAACGTTGATGTGTTCCCCCTACCTTTACAGATGACTGTCAAATTCAAATACTCTTCTACATTAGGGCCAACATAAACCATATAATGTTCTCAAAAGAGGAAAAAAGTGGCAAGTCCTTTTTCAATTGGTTTTATACCTTTTATGACTATTAAACTAGATACAGTCCTGTCCCTGCTAAAGTTTATGCCTCAGTCTTAGCAAATCCGATTGAAGTCACTAACTCAGTCAGTATCATACATCTAAAGGTCAATCTGGTGTTTCTGAATCTAATTTTCCTGGATATGCACCCTAAGGAAGGTCCATGTGAGAGGGTACAACAGTGGAGCCACTGCTCCCTAGGGAAGGAAGGAAAAGAAAATAGAACAGAAGGAAGAATCCTGCGTGCAAAGGAGTATAATTATAGATCACAGCACATTTTGAATTTAAATCCTTCTGTGTGGACATTCTTAGACACAAACAACATGAGTCTTTGGTCTCTAACTTCATTGCAAAAGATAGAAAGGAAAGTCAAATGCCTGCAAGAACCTCCCTAGATACAGAGATGGTGAAACAAGAGAAAAGTTCTGCTGACTAGGGAACCCTGCTTCCTCTGGACCGGGGTGGCTAGACCTCCAGATGCTTTGGATTTCAGCACCCAGCATCCTTGACCATTGGCTTTCAGCAGGGGATTTCTGGGAGTTAAAATCCGAAATATCTAGAGAGGTACCTTTTGTCCACCCCTGCTTTTGAGCAGCAGCAGGACATCTGTGCCCTTCAGATGTTACTGGATTTCAGCCTCCATCGTCCCCCACCACTGGCTCTGCTGGCTAGCACTGATGGAAATTGCAGGCAAGCAACATCTGAATGGCCACAAGTCCACCCCACCTTCTTCCGCAGAAGCTGTCTCTGCTGAGTGGCGGTATTTGCTGCAAGACAGAGGCTCTGGGAGAGGTGAAAGTGGTAGTTTCCCCTTTGAAGGGCAAAAGATTATTTTTCTAATAAAACTAAGTTTTCAGGCTTTCCTCCCTAAAGACCTACCAGGGCCATTTTTGTATATTTGCTAACTGTTCTTGTGTACTATGCCTTCTCTTTTCTTTCCATGTCTTCTTTTCAAGATGATTATGGTTGTTCTACACTTTACACATATATGCTTTCTTTTCCCAGGAAAGACTATATATAGCAGGACATATTTAGATTTTTTTCACAATGAATTTTTAAGAGTCACTGAAAGAAAATGGAATAGAAAGGAACATTATGTTCCTCCCTTTCCCCCTTCTTTTTAGTAAGTCCAACATTTAATGCATCTCCCTTTCTCTTTCTCCCTCTGTGTGTGTTCTTTATGAAAGATTACACTTGACCTGCATTTAACTGAGTCCTCTTCAGCATGTGACACTGACATTTGAATGTCTTTTGAAGGTCACAAGGCTTGTTTTTAGTCTTCAGCGGAACAAAAACCAGTTTTTGCATGTGCGGTTTTGATTTAGGCACCGGCAACTTTTTTTTAGCAGCCTTTAAAAAAGAAATAAGAGCATGATCCTCATTCCCAGTGCAGATGGCTGCAGGCGGTTAGGATGGTACATTGGTGCCTTTCCATCACCAGAAAGAAGCATTGTGTGTGTGTGTGTGTGTGTGTGTGTGTGTGTACATGCACATGCGCATGCACATGTGTGCACACTCCACTGACAGATGCCTCTGTTGTGCCTGAGCAGGTAAAAAACATTTGGTGTTTCCCCTCCAGTGGTAGCAAGTGGAAGGCAAAATACAGGGTATTCTGTGGATATGGGGGTGGGGGGATCCTGTAAGAATTGCAAGATTGGAAGAAAACTGCAGCACTTTTTCCTAGTTCTTGAATGACTGCAAACTAAATAAAGACTGAAGTTGCAATTATATACTCATCTTCCTGGAATCAAATCCCACTGAATTCAACAGGCCTTCCAAGGCAATATGTATAGGATTGTAATGTTAGTCTAAAGTGTTACATTAGTAATCAATTTGCCTGATTCAGAAAACGGATGCCCTATGATTCAAAGTCTCCTCTAGCTGGCTGATAAAAGCAAATGTTAGTGGGGTTGTTTACCCACTCCAGGAGTCAGACTGAGCTTTAGGGAGCTATCCATGGTAGTGAACCTATTTTGGGAACAACCCCACTGACACTGGATCTGCCAGCTTCCACTGGATAAAGGGCTTTGTTTATTTGTTTAATAAATAAATAATATTAACATGTAACAGTGTAGCTGAGATACTGGCAAGTTCATGGATCAGGCAAGGCTTATGTTATTTCATGTCTTTACACTATTTCATTTTGAGTGTGTGTGTGCATATGTGTGAATCAGGTGGCAGAATTTGAACCAGGCACAAAATATAGCCAGTAACAAAGTGCAAAGACAGACTTACTGCAAGACTATACAGAAACACAACAGGTATCTCTATTGGGGTAATTCTATGAAATTCAAATAATCTGTTTTACTCTTTCTATAGACTGAAGTACATACAGAAGGATGCTCTAATTCTTTTGAGTAATTACTCCATATTGCATTATGTCTTTATGATTCACATGCTACTGTCTTCTGCAGCACAGTTCTGATGAAGAGCTACAGCTCAAAACATGGATAAACTACTCCTTTACTGGGCAGTCTCATTTATGCGGTTTCTTGTTTGTTTGTAAAATTTATTTATTTATTTATTTATTTATTTAGGGAACTTCTATGCCGCCCCATTCACCAAGGCTTCGGGGCGGCTCACAAACATAAATAAATAACATCATATAAAACAATATAATTTAACAGTATAAATTAAATTAAAATAATACTATACTTTTAAGCTAAGAAGCTCTCTGCTGCTATAACACAGAGTTTCACAAGCTGACCCTTTCCAGTTGCCACCCATTCTGGCACAATACTTTAAAAGCTCCTAATAGCTGCATGGGATGCTTAGGCATGAGATGGGCATCACTGCTATAGACAACTTGAACCATTAAACAAGTAATTTATTAAAGATATATTTTGTACATAAGAGATCACAAATATGTACTTTGGAATTTTCGAAAGACTGCTTGATGACAATTCTTTAGGTCTCAAGAGATAGTGTTGCTGTTTCAAGCCTTTATGGACTTCTTTTAATGCAGGCTAAATTCCCCAACCCTCTACCCAGCCAGGTCCAGCTTCTGGGTTTGGACTTCTTCTGGCATCCAAGTTCTTTTCATTGTATTACTGGATGCTTTTCATGGCGTCCTACTGCTTCCTTGAATATCTTCTGGAAGATTTTAGCGAAGGCTCTTGACATAATGCAGCAAGTAGTTTCCTGCTCCTGATTTTTATTGGTCATCGAAGGCTATCCCACAGATAAAGAATAACTATTCCCTTTCCCCTTAGTTTTTCTCAAACACCGCACATGAACTGGCAAAACATCTCTCTGTGTGACTACAAAAGATTAACTCTGACTTGAAACTATCAACAGTCATACTTTGACTGTCGTTAAACAACTGCTGGTTTCTAGTTAGAATCCCCAGCCACTCAGAACTTAATACACTGGATTGCAGCCTTATCTAATAAACTTCAAAGCAATTCTTTCTCCCTTCCCACGACTTACACAGACCTGTGATAGCAACCAAACAAAGCTTCAGCTCTAATCAGACACTACAGCATCACAAAAGCCAAATAAAGTTCACGTTACACATCCACAGGAAGTTATAGAGAAGCTTTTCTTCACATTTGCAAATAAAGGCATTTTTATTTTTTACGAACTCATCAAGCTTAAGTAACATTTTTGTGAATACAAGAGTGTAACACTGAAGCCATTATCCTGTGAACATACTAGAGACAAAGATCATCCTAAAGTGTCCATGTGCATTTGCCAAAGAGTAAAGACATCTAGGGGATGCAAGTAATTCTGTAACTGTAGCTGTGTAGGAGAGGGAATTTCAGCTGCTTTCCTTGATTCTGTGGAGCTATGCCAAGAGAAATGTCATGTACCGTAATCTCTTCTTGTGCAGAGCTTCTAAAGGTACACGCACCTTGCTTCT